GGGGGGGGGGGGGGGGGGGGGGGGGGGGGGGGGGGGGGGGCATACACTATATTGTAGACATTAAAATTTTATATAACATTACAAGATGGAATATAGTATATGTTAGTTTTCTCAAAGGCTATTCTATTCTAAATCTTAGTTCATACCTGAGAATATATTTGTAAATAGCAGAAGCAATCATCGAGCCTCCCTCTGTTTATCTATATATATATATATATATATATACTAGATAATTTAAGGTCCGTGATGCGGGCCCAACATAATTTCACATATTTTGTTGGAAAAATTACATAAATTCACAACTTAAGATATTATAATCCTCTCTCGGATACATCCCTATTTCCTCTCGCATACATCTATTCCCTCTCAGATACATACCTATGCCATCTCGAATACATCCCTCCCCCGAAGTAATATGTCATTTGCAATGTATTGGACAACCAATGAATGTATTCGAGAGTAATGAAAAATTCGAGATGTTTGTAATTGAGGAAACTTTCCGGATATGATGTAATTCCCGGATTCTAATTTCTTCATATTTATTTTTTGATTGAAGCTTACTCTTCATATATTAAAATTTAGAGAAAAGACATAAAATTTCCCTTAAACTTGTCCGCTAAATTTACCCTTAGCACTTTAACTTTATAGATGATTATTTACCCCCTAATCTCATTTCAAGTGAATTTAATATTATTCAAATAGCTGACGTGATAAATTAAAAAAAATGAGTGCGTAAAATGTAAAAAAATAAAGAGAAAAAGATAAGTGGGGCCCTTCTTTTTTAATTTTCATTACTTATTTATATCTCTCGCACAAGAGCATGTTTTCCCGTTGTCACCTTGAAATACCCTTGTATGTCTTCTACGCTTTGTTTATAATAATTTTGAGAATATAATTGTTTGATTTGTTTTCTTAAACAAAATTGAAAAGCTTACGTTTATTTTTTCAGTTAAATATTTCAGAAGATAAAATCATAAATAATCATTATTGTTTTGTTGAACCATCACTTAAATTAAAAATTTCTTATCTATGATGGAATAATTAGGTTATTTCAGTAATATATATATATATACCATATATCAAATTGAAAGGTTCAAATGTAAATATATAAATTTAATTTTTTTTAAAGTGATATATGTTTGAAAAAAAGACTAAGTACTAAAAATCAAGGATTATGTTATAATGAATGAAATAAATTACTATAAATTTTACCGTCTTCTATTTCAAGCTTTTAAAATAGAAGTTTATCTTTTATATTTTTAGAATATATCGCTATTTTGAAATATAAAAAATTAGGAATGAGTATTTTTTGCAGAAAATAAATACTAGTATGCCCTTAAATAGTTGGATGAACAAAAGAACACTATATTATTTTATCATATGCAAAATTTTGATTGGATGAACCAATTGAAAGTCACGAAAGATTGTTGCAATATTTTTCTTTTGAAGTTAAGTAGTGGATATTTTACTAATGCTCGATTGATTAAGAATTAAAAAAACGTTATCAAAGACTTTAGACAGGCAAAACTCAAACAAACTTGGGCTGCTTTGATGGCCTCTATAGCTAGCTAGCTTGCGTTCGGTTATAAATTTACAAAAAAAAAAAATTACAAGTTATTTTTAAATGAAATTTTATCATGTGTTTAATCATAGATTTTAATAGAAATATAATTTGTCCTGACAAGTTCTAAAAATTATTTAAAAAATTCATAAATTTGTATTATCATCTATAATAAGCATATTTTGTAAAAAGTTATACAACAAATACAATTAATATGAATCCGAAAAAAAATTATCTTTGATTTGTATACTTTGCTATGAGTTCTAGTTTTCTTCTTCTAATGAACCTCAACTATATACTCCTCCTTGCAACTTAATCAAAACCTTGAGCAGCCAATGAATTAGTTTGAATACCTATCACTGGTTCATTATGAACAAAGGAATAAGAAATAAAGGTAGAGAAAATATTTAAATTGTATTAATTTTAAAGCAAAATCCTTATTTGAGTTTTGGTTTATTGCAGAAGCGCATCCAGGATTTTATAATGATTGGTGCATTATTACAAAAAAATGCATCTAAAATATAAATTTAATTGATTTGACCTTTACATTTTCAACTCTCAATCAGTAAATTTTAAAAATTATAGGTCCAACATATATAATACTTAATTTTAAAATTTTAAAGTATACATTTGATTTAATTATATAAAAAATTTACCGTGCTAATTTATTTTAGGAATTTTCAATGTTATTGTACACTTGAAAATTTTGAAAGATTAAAGCAAAATATCAAAAGAGAAATTGATTGAAACGCGAAAAGTGTTACCAATAATCACTTGAAGGGATGTTACTAACAAAAATAAAATAGATATAAAAATTTAAATTTCTATCTTTGCTCAGATAAGCGCACTCAATCATCATCGTATTACTATTATTTTTTAACAGAACATACTAATTATAAAAAGATAATACAAATTTATGAATAGTTTTAATAATTTCTAAAATTTATGAGTATAAATCATACATTCAAATATTCCCTCCGTTTAAAAAAGAATAACCTCATTTCCTTTTTAATTTGTTTCAAAAAGAATAATCTTTCTTTTTTGATAACAATTTAATTTCAACTTTCTAACATGTTCAAAACCACAAGATTGAGAGCAATTTAATATATTTGACATAGAAAATTCAAAAAAATTTATTTTCTTAAACTTCATACCAAGTCAAACCATTACTTTTTTCAAAACCTACAGCTAAACACGTGATGGAACTTAATTCACCCAAAAAAAAATAAATACTTAAAAAACTTATAGCCAAACACTAATCTAGAAGTGTTGCAATTGGGTACCTCGGCATGTTGATCACTGCAAGTCTAGGGGTGTTCACGAGTTGGTTTGGATTGATTATTGGTCAAAACCAAAACCAAACCAACTTAATCGGTTTTAAAATTATCAAAACCAAATCAAACCAAATATAATATACATTTATCGGTTTCGGTTTGATTTGGTTTGGTTCGATTATTCGGTTATTAACCATACACAAAAATAAAAGAAACAATTCAATTAAAATATGAAAAAAGTGACAACAATCCATTCAAAACGAAAAATAGTTAGAATGACTTAAATTACTAAACTTTCAATCACTAAATTTA